ACGTGCCTTTACTCTTTTGTGACCGTCAAAATTTCCTGGAGGTATCAAATTGTTGGAACGAAAAGATTCGGGCCCGTTGCGTCGCACTGAGCATGTTGTCACATCCAACTAATCACCAAACGACAGCGGCGATCGACGGCCTGGTCGTTGGCCGTTAGTGTTGAAAATCCCTGGTTATACGCGATTCCGCTTTGCTTAGGTTGGCAGATAATAGATTGTACACATAGCATTTTCAAGCATAAAGCTTTAATGAAGTTATGAAAACGAATGTATCTTTGTGTGTTAATTATAGGCGTCTCATTTGGAAGCCTCATAGAAGGTAAATCATTCCCTTTAAATACAATGCTCCACATTTGGAGATATTGAAGCAAGCACCAGATCTGATGAAACGAGCTCACTTATAATCATTGGTGTATTTTCGAGTGAAAAAGACCGCTCTAGAGAGCGCAGTTTCCCTGTTCAGTAAATATGCTCCTCAATGCGCTATTGTCTGATTACGTCATCGTGGCTCGCACAACATTGGTTGAGAGCCAGTTGACGGTAGTTTTATCTGGAAATCGTGCTCACGAACGCCAGATATGAACGACTCGACAATCAGATTTGTCTTGGCCTCGATCACCGCTTGGCTGATGGAGTGGCAGGATTTAAATGGCTTCATTGCGGCGTCATGGATGTCTGGATGACTTTGAAATAGTTTCCCCGAAATGGTCTGCACATCTTCGCGGGCGTGCAGCTCAGAAACGAGAGGTTTAGGCCTTAAGAGGAGCAGGGTTGAAAACTGCACCAAATGCTCTTCAAGATGGTTGATTCAGCTCAAACTCATATACAGATATCGAACACTCCCTTTAACGTGTCGTCACCACCGTCCCAACGGCGATTTCGCGCGCTGCTTTTGCCGCACACCGGGAACGGCGCGCGCGGCTATGGTCTCGGGTCACTCACGAAGGCGGTGTACTTCAGGCCGGGCTTGAAGTTTTCTGCCGTCTTGACCAGCTGCAGCGTGTACTTGTGCCGGTGCAGGGTGGTGGAGGCGGACGCGTTCTGTGCGCGGCCCGTCAGCTCCTCCGTCACGATCACGTCGAACACCAGCTCGCGCTCGTAGTCCTCCGTCAGTCTGCCGGCCGGCCAGCGCGCCCGGTTCAGAGTCGGCGCGCGCGCGGACACCCAGCGGTGGCTCGCTCAGAGCTGCGCTGTGTCGGCTTTGTAAAGAGCGTTAATTCACGGAACCTCACAATATTCGAAACATTGGGAGCTGATTTGAATAAAAATGTGTCATTAACAGCACAAATTACAAACTATTGCAAATTGGGCTCGTGCATTCAGTGCGACCGAAGAGCATCACAGCCAGCAGGACGGAATAACAAGAAACGGTGCAGTGAAAGTTAACCAATGAGGGATGTAGGTTAATAGTCTTCGCGCGCGGTGCCAGTCCTCGGTGACTGACCCCAGCTCGTCCTTGAGGTCAAAGGAGACATCAGCCTTGCCGTCGATGCTGGATGACTTGCGGACCGGGTCCTGGAAGATGGGCTGGATGTAGGAGGACTTGATCTCCGGGTGCGCCCGCACCATGACCTCCCCTCTGACCGGCTTCCCGTAAGTGTACCTGAAAAAGGCAGCGTCACAGTGCGTCAGCTCGTGTCGGATGCTGGGACCAGGTGTAACAAGGCTGCCGGCTGGAAACGTGGCATTAATCTGAGCCTGTGAGATGCAGACGCTGGGACCGGTGAATGCCGTGCCGTTCTCCACGGCAGGCGCACGTTGGAACCATGACTTCCGAATACCATCGCTACATTTATTACCAAAACAATCAAGACGCTTGAGTATTGTGACAACAGCACCAGCGCCGCGCGTGAGCGTGTGAGCTGAACGCCGGCGGCTTACTTGGCGTGTACGGTGGCAGTGACTGTGGTGTCGGCGAATGTGGCGTACGGAGGCAGCTCCACCGTCACCTCGAAGCGCGGCAGCACGTACTCCGCCACCTCGAACAGCTTGCTCGTCGTCTGTCCCAGCACGTCGATCTGCGGTGGCGCCGGGGGTCAAAGCTCAGCTCAGCTCAGCTCAGACGTATGCGTCAAACACCGGTTGTGTCGGTTTCCCTGTGTCCAACAGCCCGGAGCATATGATCACCGGGACTTGGAAATGGTGGCTGCTTAGCATAGAGATGGGAGGGCCGTAGAAAGGCGTGGGGATTAAAAAAGCGGCGGGAGAAAGAGAAAGGAAGGTGGAGAGATGTAAGAGAGGTGGGAGTGAATACAGTTATCATCTATGTACCCTCGCATAAGTACCCTCGCAGCTACCCTCGCGTCCCAGTGTTACCGCTCGCACACGTGCGTCGCGTGCGGTTACCGGCACATCTCGCCGTTAGATACCGCGACAAAGTCGTTCACCGGGCGTCAGACGTGCCGCGCCGCGCGCCCGGAAGTGACGTCACGAACCGTAACGGGCGTGACGTCGCAGGCGGCGGCGGCGGCGACTACGTACCGTGATGTTCCAGTCACCGAGCACCGGCTGGTCGGAGAGCTGAAGCGAGTTCGTGAACACGCCGTTGGTGGTGAACTGGCGGTCCCACTGCTGGATGCGGTTCCCCTTTCCGTCCTGGAAACACGGAGGAAGCCTCCTCTCACTACGATTCACACGTCGTCCAACAGGTTACGTTGTCCATCGTTGTATTGGACGTGATTTGATTTAATATGGCGTACCAGCGGTATGGTAAGTGGGCCAATGCGCTCAGCATAAACGACCCATCCAACAGGCCTGCACTTGTGACGCGGCCCCTGATGTCTGAAGGAATACTGCGGTGATGAAAGCTGCGGTGCGCAGATGCTGTGAGCCTAGGAAGTGGTCCGGATCAGTGTTTAATGACAGGGCTTAAAAAGTGAGACCCCATTTCCCACAATCACCATGTCTGCTTCCAGAGAATGGTCTCATTTTCTCACGATCAGGCCATTCGATCGTTCGAGAAATCTGTCACTCCAGGAAAGGTCATTAGCACGCAGCATTTCTGGGCTCCAGACGAACAAGCGAGCGCGGAAAAATGCAGTTCATCGCGACATTGATGTCATCTTCTGTTTGCTGCAGAGATTTCAACGAGCCAGCCAGCCGCCGCGTCGCAAGACGTCGTCCACCGGCGCCCACTGGCGGCCCTGCGCGCCTTGTCTCGGTCCGGCCCCAGCCTTGCCCTGTCCCTGCGCCGGTCCTGCCCCGGCTCTGCCCCGGCTCTGCCCCGGCTCTGCCCTGACCCTGCCCAGACACCGGCTCTGCCCCGGCCCGGCCAGGCCTCGGTCCTGCACTGACCGTGACCCAGGCGCTGACGCTGCCGGCGGTGTGTGGCCGCAGGCTGGGGTTGAGCACCACCGCCCGGAAGTTGACCAAGTCACCCGGCTTGTAGACGGCCTTGTCCGTCTGGATAAACACCGAGTACGACTTGTGGACGTAATCGAGCGCCGTCGTGTTCTGAAAGCTGAGGCCGCCCTGGCCGGCCGCCGTTATGTTGTACTGGCCCGGTCCCAGGTCGCCAATCTGCGGACGAGGATGACCTGTCACCTTTCGCGCACGGGAGTGAGAATGACCTGTCACCTGTCACGCACGGGAGTGAGAATGACCTGTCACCTGTCACGCACGGGAGTGAGAATGACCTGCCACCTGTCACGCACGGGAGTGAGAATGATCTGTCACCTGTCACGCACGGGAGCTAAGAGCTGCATGGGCTATCCGTCACGTCATGTAAACCATCCCAACGAAACTTTATGATCCAAATTTTGCATTTGTGTTGTAGCACTTTTCAGCTTTAGTAAGTTTGACAGGCACCTGACATTGGCCAGGGACTAATAATTGATGAGTATATGTATCATGCATGGGCGCTGGGAACGCACAACATTATAAATATTGTTATTCATCCCAGAGCTTCTCAAAGCCTCTAGGGAAAACTGCACACCAAGCTTCCGTAAAAAAACGGTCATTGTCTCCGACACAACGCTGGCGTCCGGAAGTTTCCATGCTTTCGTCTCCCTCAGCGCTGGTGAGTCACCAGTGCTGCACCTATCTAGCTGAGAGACATGACAGTGGGTCAGAGCGTTGTCGGCCCCGGACGTTGGGAGTCAAGGGAGCTGAAGTCTCTCAGAACGAGGTGGCACAACGACATTCACAGTTATAAGCCGGCCGCCAGCCGCGGCTTCGGCGGCCGCTGAGTCCTGGATGTGGTGCAGTGGTGCTGTGGATGTCAGGACATGCAAATGCCTTTAAAGCACGCTGGTGTGAGAGCTTGTCCATATGTTTGCTTCCCTTTGATGCTTTGAATTCGACCTGACAATGATGAGTGTCTTGTTGGCAGAGATACTGAATACTATTAATGTTTCCGCTCAAGCAGAAGCAGACAGTTTAACAAAGCCTACAGTTCAGCTTGACATGAAAGCATATGCCTGACATTGCTCGATACGCATTATTGTGGCTTTCCTCTCCGTAAGTTGCCTCATTCCTTTTTACCACACACCATACTGCTGTGAAGCTACCGAGCGGAAACATTCACGATGGGATTGCAGGCAACAGAGTTCCCACCACGACACATTTTGGAAAAGCGGGGAAGTGGCGAAAGCGGCGCGGCGAATGCGGTGGTCACCAGCCCGAGTCACACTGGTTCGTACTCACATTGAACTGCAGGATGGACGTGAAGCCCGGCTGGACGACGATGTCTTTGCTCTTGAGCTCGTTGCCGCCCGCGTCAGGCCGTCCGCCGACCTGAACGGTGACCTTGGTCGGCTTGTTGGTTTCCAGGATGGTGATGGCCACATTGTACGGCAGGTTCGGTCGCAGCACCTTCGGCGCCACGATCGTGTACGTCCTGTACGGACATGGCGCTGGTTAGAGACGGACGGTGGGAATAAAGGGAGCTGAAGGCTCTCAGAACGAGGTGGCACAACGACATTCACAGTTATAAGCCGGCCGTCAGCGCGCGAAGAGCGCTGGCGGCCGGCTGAAGAACCAGCTTCGGCGGCTGAAGAGCCTATTTTCTTAGCATGGTCCCTAGTAAGACGCCAGACGACGCGCACCCTTGGAAAGTTATCCTGTTATCACATAAACCCTGCACACATCAAACCTGTCCTAAAACTCACAATCAGCTCACAATCACTCACAGTCAAAATTCACATCAGCCAGAAAGATCCATAAGAACCGGGGCATGGCACACGCGCCTTGTTGCTTAGGAGAAAGACCAGGCACCATTGATCAGTCTGTGTGACATGTGTGACACGTTTGGCTCAGTGACGTCACCCTGCCTTCCCGGCATACTTCGCCCGCCCCCGCCCTGCCTGGATCCAGACACCCGTGACTCCCCGTTTTGCGCTGCAGACCGCTGTCAGCGTCAATGTCAGCGCCAGCTGCAGACCCTGTCATGTGCCAGTCGCCTAGCTCAACTCCCCGGCCATCGTGTTTGTCGCCTTCCTGCTCTTGGGCGAATTGAGAAGTTGAAGTTCCGGATGGAATGATGGAGTGACAACAAAACACCGCTGCACAAAAGACGGGACGTCGTTTTGCACAGTTCTTTCATTTCAAAACCATGTAAAGTTTGCAAATCAACTTTCGCAACTAGTGTTACATGGCAGCGGCAGACTGCAGCGTTCCACGCGAAATTCTTTCTTTTGTGACCATAATCATCGACCGGAACGGACGGCGACAGACACTGGTCGAAACGATCCATGTTCACATCGACGACACAGTCTGCTTCGCCAGTGCTTTCGCCAGCTGTTGGCGGCGCCGATCGGGCCAGCCGGTCCGCCTCCCGTGACCAAAACACGGGCCGCCGGCCCCGTGTGCGGACCGGGGCTGCCCGGGTCCGCGGCCGCCGGGCGGCGCCGGCACGCCAGCTGATTCCGCCGGCGATAGCAGCACCGTACCAGGCCACACGTGACACGCAAACGCCCCGTGACCCGTCCGCGCTACGTGGCGGTCGAGTCAGGCCTCTGCAGCGGAAAAAGCTGATCTTCGGCGTGCACCGGTGGCAGGGTATGTACGCTCCGGCCGCAGAGCAGGTCCTACAGTGCGGAGGCGGCCTTCAGGACAAGGTGGACTTGGCGTCAGGGATAAGTGTTCGGAGTAAAGAGCGAGCAATACCGCACGCTATCGGCTATTGCGAGCAAACTTCGGCCATGCAACGTGGGGCAGAGACCGCCCAACACCGTTTTGGCCCAGCGGAGATAGCGATCACGACTAGTGGTGTAGCCGAGGAAGACTTCTGGGCCTTATCGCCTCCACCCCCCCCCCCCCCTCCCCCTCTCCCGTGAGATAGTGGAGAGTCCTTAGATCCGAAGACCACAGTACTTTTTGCCAGTTTTCGGACGCCCGTGGGACTTCTAAAACATAGGCACGAGCCCCAGACATTAAAATGGGACTTCGCGCCACATTAACCTACGGGATCCTCAGTTCTAAAGAGAGCCGCCCTGGTCTGTAAGGATCCACCACGACCGATTAACCGTTTAGGTCCCCCTTCTGGACGTAATCCTAGTTACGCCTCTGATCGTGACCGGATTTGTCCCCTCCTGGACGCCATCCTGACTACGCCTCTGATCGTGAACTGCGGCGTGGGCCCCGCCTCGGAGATCGCGGCCAGCCGCCAGACGGACGGAACGCAGTCAGCTGGCGACAGGTGGGCGGCAGACAGCTTTCGCAATGCCTTTCTCCGGACTGGCCTGGATAGGCGGCAGATATCCAACAGCTGCAACAGCTGACTGGCTCGCTTCGGATCCTCGTGTATGAAGATTACGAGCCCTCGAGCTTCATGCTCCGCTTTCAGGATGATGCGTTTGGCGGCCGGGTGGCAGGCGTGTCGCCGCCACCCGGCGCGCCCGAAGAGCGGCGTCTCTAGGCGATAGGACCGCACGCAGCGCGTGCGATGATGCGCGAGCTTGCGAACACTGAACGTCGCTGCACGCCGCCGTGCGTGTCGAAATATGCCGCGTCCTGTGTCACGTGACGGCCGGTGACGGCCACACACCAGTCCGGAATCCCTGGGTGGGTGCAGACGGCGAGAAGTGGCGCAGCTGGTGCGGTGACGTCACCACTTCCGGCGCGCGAGCCGGGCCGGCTTTGGAACACTGCTTGTGCCCACAGCGTTGTAAAACCCTGTTGCACCAGCAGACAACCCACCTGGTTGGGGCACTGAGATGGGTCCGCGAGTCCATGACCAAGAACGAGAAGCAAGCAAAGGTGTTAGAGCGGTCAAAAATACATCTTACGCAAGGCGGGTGAAAAAGTCGCCACTCAAAAGTTGTTTCAAAGTAGCCAATTGCCTTATGAAATGCGACGCTCTAAGATCCTGAGGCAACCCGTAGCGCGCAACGCCGAGGGATCCCCAACGCGGTCAGTGATTTGTACAGGCGGCACTGAGGGCGTTGACAATGGGCCCGCCTCTAGGGGCAGGTAACGTGGGGACTACTGGTCACATGTGAAGCGAGACACCTGAAGTAACCTTCGTTGGTGAGAGAATATGTTAATGTCCAGTTGTCAAGACGTATCAATGAAAAGGTTCCTTGTGCTCGGGTCCTTTTTGAGCCTTCAGGCCATCACATATGCTGACCATCAACATTATCTGATGAAATATATAGTTCCTTGGCCATTGGGGAAACGTCTGGTCCACTTCATCCAACGAGTACTTAAGATTCGACACTGATAAGCTGTCCTCGCTAAAGCGTAACATTTATATCCTGTGCTAAATAGCCATTAAGCTCAATTAACCGAGACTCTACAACTTGTTCTAGTTGAGTCGTGATGAGGAAATGACAAATGAATAATTTCGTTAACTGTTTAGTAAATTAAGTTGGTTGCAAACACCATGGATATTAAAGCTTTCCTCCTGCATTAACGAGCTTACGAGCTCCATGCTTCAAACTTCGTATCACGTTCGTGACCCCAGTCCTCCCCAGCTTAGCTGAGGAAGCGGTTCTGAGACCGCGAGCAGTTTCATTAGTAATTCATCTCAAAATGTGCTTGTAAAATAAGCTACAAACCCGAGTCATCTGTACATCACATGACAACCAAACTTTCTGTTGCGATGGCCGGCGTGAGGTGAGCTCAGGCTCGAAAGGACAAACAGACACGGCTTGACGTCGTGCGACGGTCGGATGCACGCTCCAGGAGTCTGGCCACACTGCGCAAAAAGTGGTCGTTCCAGTGACGGGCCCAGCTGGCGTCAGGGCGGGGGGTTCGTGACACGTGACGCCGCAACCGCCGGCTCAGCACTCGTGACGCACGACGCTCGGCGGCCGGGGAGTGCCGGCACGCGCCGCCAGTCCAGCCTGAGCCAGGCGGCGGCGTGGCGTCATCGACCGCCTCGCGCTTCGGCACGGGCCGCGCGGGCTGCTACGGCCCGTGCGGGTATTTGAACAAGACTCCATGGCCGGTGCAGGTATCAGGGCAGGGCTCTACGGGCGGTGCAGGTATCAGGGCAGGGCTCTATTGCCGGTGCAGGTATCAGGGCAGGGCTCTACGGGCGGTGCAGGTATCAGTTCAGGGCTCTATTGCCGATGCAGGCATCAGGCAGGGCTCTACGGGCGGTGCAGGCATCAGGGCAGGGCTCTATTGCCGGTGCAGGTATCAGGGCAGGGCTCCACGGGCGGTGCAGGTATCAGGGCAGGGCTCTACGGGCGGTGCAGGTATCTGAGCAATGCTCAACGAGTGGTGCAGCAGCCGGCTAACTGAGCGGCATCCGTGCAAGATGAGCGGGCTGAGATTTCGTCCGCCTGCAGATCATCCGACAGGCGAATAAGGAGCGGGCACAGCCGAGCACAAGCACGGCCGAGCGCTTTCAAGAGAGAGTGCTACCAGAGGTCTGGTGATCAGGCTTGATGCCATCCTAATGATGAGCGTCTGTAGCGAAAAAGGGCGCGGTGAGAGGCAGGCTCGAGGCTTCAGCCAATCCCCCGCCTGTAGAAATGGCAGCAGTACTTAAGTGCTACGTAGTAGCAAGTAACCTTTTTATCAAAACGCGCTCATGTTCCCACCTCACATTTGGCATACTCCGCCTTTCGGCCCTAATTAAATGCATCTTACCAGATGCTTCGCTCTATTCTTAATCCATTGCCTTCTCATGTTTCCAATGAGCAGTCATGCTAAAGCTGCGATATGCAAATGATCCATCCATTATGCAAAAATCTGTGTCACGGGACTGCTAGAGTTACACGAGGAAATGACGTCACTGGTAAGGCGGCGATCAGTGACGAAGGCGTCTTTTCGCAGAGGGATGAGCTCATCGTGACGTGGCACGCTTTCCGCCACATATGCATGGGATGATTCATCCTGAATCGTAGAGGTCAAGTTCTGGAGCTGGGACACGGGGCTGTGGTAAAAAAAGCCTGTTCGGGCCTCCAGTCTTGTGTCGATCAACTGAAGTAGCCAGATGCTACCGCTCCCCGTGTTGACACCGTTTTGTTTAGATAGATCGGATGTTTGGTGAGCATAGTGCCCATGATTGGGAGGGCTACCTGTCAGATTTTTTTCAGATTGGGAGGGCTGTGGTTGATTGGGTGGGCTACCTATCAGATTTGTCAAATTGGGGAGGGCTGTGCTTCAAGTTCAAAAATAGACACAAAGCCCGGTCCCGGCAACGGCGTTGGGGACCAAGTGCTGACTGAATTAATGGCCGCAGATGTCTATCAAGTGCTTAAATCAGAATAGATTCGTACCCTAGCGCAGCTCTCCGTGTCCACGACAGTATTTGAAGCTTACGTGAAAGGTTATAGCGTATTAATAGATCAACACGACCTTTGCTTAGGTCACTGTTTCAACTACGCACGGAGCTACTGTCTACCACGCCCATCTGAACGGCTCTTAACGCAGTCATTTAGTGGCAAACGTTCCACAAGAGTCCCATAATCCCCGCTGGAAGGCTCAGCAAGGAGCTGGCCTCTGTGGAGCCCCTTAAGCCGTTCCCCTTAAGTCTTCCTATGAAATGCTGTGGTGATGCCGACCCTGACATTTCGCTGCAGTCTGTCCCTCGACCTTGCAGTATGCAGATGCAGTGGCTGTTGTCGATGCAGCGGATGCCTCCAGCCAGCCAGCTGCTGTCCATACGCGTACCCACTGGTAGCACAGACCGCCAATGAATCCTCACTCAAACACATATGAATGGCAGGGGTGTAGCTCCGCAAAGCAAGTTGGAGGGCTGAGCAGTTGAAGATTACAAACCTACCCCCACATACACCAAAAAGCGGGATTTGACCGACTTCCCTGCCAAAATTTGGAGATGAATAGAGCCCAAGCTTGGGGGACTCAAGAGTCTCCAAACTAAAGAGGAACACGTCTGGAAGACGGTGTGGTAGAAGATGGCGCTGCCTTCCGAGAGAATGTTGTGATGAATTCCGCCGCCTTTTGGGGTTGGTGCGATTAAGTCTGTGTCGCTCAGTGTTTTGGTTGTTTTTCATCATCATACATGTCCGTTAGACGCGTGGCCGGTCGAGGACTCCAGACCACGCGATGGTCTAACAGCGACTGTTTACAAGCATCTCGCGGTGTCACACGAACGCTCGCGGGCACGTGCACGGGCGCTCCGGGGAGACGGGCCCCGGCCCCGGCCGACCGCGCCCGGGCGGAGGTACGGCGTCTGTGCGCTTCAACCCTACATTCATTCTCCGCGTCAGGCAGAACTTGGAGGCGGTCAGGATGGGTCCGAGCACGGCTGCCTCGCCTGAGTGCCTCTAGAGGGGCCGCATCCGGCGCACTAGCTGTGCTGGAGCTGGTCGGACCAGGTTACCTGGCAGGTCATCTGCTGGAGGCCTCTGGTGGCGTGCGCTTTCACTGGTGCCTGGGGGTACGGCTGCGGCCCCAGCTTGCAAAGGCAGGCTAGGGTCGGGTGTCATTACGTTGCAGCGCCTAGGCATTAAAGCACTATATAATAGTCAGTCACTCCGGCACTGTGCTGACGTGTCATGCCGATAAATGATCCTCATTATCACCATCATAGGAAGCATGAAAAGGTGCCACAGAGATACCCATCTTTCCGATAGAGATGGGGGGAGGGACACGTCATTGGAGCGTCTTCCACTGCAGCGACCGTCAGCTAACGGACAACCGCCCAGCTAGCTGGAGCGGCCTCCCGCCGTCACATCCGGTGCGCGTTCGGAGCGCACGAAGCGGCGCGCGCTGGCCGTCTGGCCCGTCCCGTCCCGTCACCATGGCGACGCGCGCGGGCCTCGGATCGCGGCGCCTTGAGGTCAGTGGAGTCGCACGGCGCGTGGGGTCAACGGCCCCGTCCAAAACACGGCTGGTAGACAGAGTTCATGGGGATTGTGGCGGCACGGCTGTAAAAGGGGTGGATGCACGAAGACGGTTTGCAATTCTCAGCGTGCGGAGTAAAATCCTCGTCAAAGTAGAATTGCACGTTCATGCCCACTGGAGCGACATTTGTGATAGGTTGAATCGCTGTAGTTACCCGTTTTTTGCGACCAGTAACCAATTTTTAACCGGTTCCAGTTTCTACAGCTGAAACAATCACCCCAGCTCCAGTCTTGTTGATGGTAACGTTCCTGGGAGACTGCAATGCCACACAAGATCAAAGCGAAGGAGACTGCATCACAACATCATGGGCTAGCCGCGATCGCGTCTGTGCTGCCTAACCGTGCGGAGCGTCTTACGCATTGTCATCTCCCAGCTCTGCTTATTGACTTATTAATTGAACAAATACTGCATAGGTTATGCAGCACTGAGGCTGATCGTACGGTTTTTCATAATTAAACAGAGTGCACGGGCATCTTTCTGCTTTGGCATCGAGTCATGCGGGCATCTGTACACTTATTTTTCAATTTGTCAGGGTGCTGCGCATATTTAAGAATTAGATGCTTGCTGCGCATATTTAGGAATTTCTCTTGAGATGCTCATTTTGTTTTCTTTGATGAATGTCAAAATTCATGATCATTATGGTGGAGCATACGAGTTTCTGACATAACACACAATGAGGGCTTTGGTAATTACACGAGCAGTTGCATGAGAGTTCATTGCTGTCTATACCGGTCTCGGAAGTTTTGGGCGCATCGAACGCAGTAGATCACGCAACTCTATACCAACAAGCTAGGGTTCATTTCGTGTCCCCTTTTATTTTGTATGGGTTGTAAGCAGACCAATTTTACGGGGGTGTTTGTGACTTGATCATTCAGAAGTAAGAATCATCTGGACCATTGTCCTCGTAAACGGTCGCGAAGTCCACACAGCGTGTTACCCGTTTACTGCTCCGATCGCCGACAGGTGAACGGTCAACAAAACTTGTGAAGACATGGTACGTAGCTGAGTGCACTTGGAACAAATGGGTGAGCGCTTTATTTTGTGATCATAACAACAGGCATTTGCCAGCGGCAACATTAGAACAGAGAGGAGACGGGGCGGGTCGTTGTTGGAATAGGGAAAAGGAGAGTTGAATAGTAAAAGACATAGTATTGTCGGCCTTGGCGCTGTCATGCGCCTTAAATGAATTAAGGCACCCATACAGCATGTTTGAAAAGATGTTACAGCCAGGCGCCAGTTCTTGAAAACGGCCACCGTTTGTTAAAAGTTGGCGTAAGCAATAACCGCCCAGTCAAGAATAACGTCCTCTGTAGAACGTCTCATGAACGAGTGTCGTCAAGAGAGATTTTCCAGAGAAGGCGGCAAAGCCATCCGGCTGCAAGGCTGGACGGCTTTGTCGACTGGCGCCGCTCGGCTGTGGCTGGTACTCACGCTCTGCCGGCGGCCGGGGAGGTCAGCTGCAGCAGCAACAGCAGGACTGCGGCGCACCTCAGCGGGCCGCGAGCCATGGCGGACCGTCTCGGCCGCAATCAGCTGCTCACAATGCCGGCAGCCTGCAACAGGGCCAGCCGGTCACCTGGTCAGCCATGTCGGTGGGCGGGGGCGGCGGAACTGTACATAATATCGCGGCTTGGACAATCGCTCAAGCGTGACACGCTCTGGCGGTGTGGAGGAACATCACATATGGGGTGTGCTAAGCCACTTTGTATGCTAAAGAACAGAAAAAAAGTATTTTATTAACTGTCATTTCGTTGTTTTCTTGCACCAATCCGAGTATATAATGAAAAGGACAGAAACGCTTCCTTATCAAACTTTTTGAAACACTTACATGGCATTAGATACTCAGCCCGTATTTAGTGTCCGCAGAGCAAGAATATGTTGTTAAACATCATGGCGCCAGAGTGCAAGGCATTCCGTGTGAATAGATTCGCCTCCGGGGCTATTTTCAAGCTTGGTGACCCTAATATGCCTGAGCAATAACCAATAAGTGTTTATGATTCTAAAAATGATGTTTTCATGTAAAAAGCTGTGTATTTGAACTTTTCACTTCCACGTATTTTTCTCCTCAACCTACATGTGTTTGCTAAGACTAAAATGTGCCTTTTCTGTAAGTTCCAGTCAGCTTATATGTTTTATGCCCTAAAAATTTTACAGTTCTCATAAGGAAAAGCGGTAAATATTTAGTACTTGACCTCGGAACTTTAAGAGTTGCGCACCAGTAACGTCCACGTTTACTTCGGAGTATGTGGAGAGCAATCCATTCGATTTCGTTGCTAGGGAGTTCGTAGCATCGGTGATTCTTTCGCTTATTTTCGTCCACCGCCTCACTGGTGTCTGGCGTACCACATGTGGGATGACGGTCGCAGTAATGCCAGGTTTGGTGAGTAGAGTTGCTGAGCACTAGCCTGACCCCGTACCCTCCTTTGAGGCGCGCCCTTGCCTTTGCTGCGCCAGACGTCACGGAGACGTCGTGAGAACCCGCGAGTACCGACGCCGACAGGTCGCGAGCGCTCAGAACGCCCGCCGAACACGGCAGCCGTGAGAGCGGCAGAACGGCGAGTCGTGTGGGCAGCCGTCAGTGGTTTACAAACTCACAGAGCGCATCCTTCGTCCGTTTATCGGTTAGTTGGCAGTGGTTCACAATCGGGTGCGGTCGGGATACGGTCCGGGGTGTTTGAATAAACCAAGTGACGCCTGTGACATTTGAGTACGACTTAAAATGTGTGTAGCTGCACCACCATCTAGTTTATCGTCCGTCAAGAGCGGAATGCTAACAATGGTTGCTGTAGACACCAGGAAACAGAGCAGAACGATGTCGAAACATCAGCACGGGGCGGCAACCGCTGGGCCAACAAACTACGTTACACAGTACCTAACAAGCGCCGGTGCCAGTGGGAAATGTCTATAATTGTTCTTTCCTGGATCAGAATATGTGAAGACATTGGGGATAGCTGTCGAACTTCCCACCGTTTAGTTGGAGTTGATAAGTACAATGGTAACAACTGCGTCGCAGCAATTTCAAGAAAAGCTGTGTGGGTGGCACCAAACAGCCCAAGCCCACACGTGAATATTAGTGCTTCAACATAAGAGAAAACAAAGAGCATCGGTCGTCGTCCTCGATTAATCGGCTTATTCTAATCCCATCACCGTGCCACTGAACTCGGCCACATTTAACCACCTCAAGCTTTCACATTTCTCAGTTCGCGCATAAACGCAGGCGGCTCGCGCTGCGGTGCTGCCACCACGCGGTGCACCGCCGCGACACCTTGCACTCCCATCGGCGTTGTGGCGACACGCGCCCCGGTCACACCGCTTCCGGCGACCCCAAAAAATGAAAGTGCGGACGTGATGAGGCCACCGGCGGCGGGTGGCGGCAGCGGTGGGGTAACAGCGTGCGGCGCGGCGGCGCCGACAGCCACGTCATTTGCGCCAGCCGCCAGCTGCACCAGCCAGCTGCGAACAGGCGTGGCCGGCCGTGCCACGCCGGCGTCGCACCAGCCGGCGGTTCGGCGCGGTGGGCTTCCGTGTTACGACTGGCGGCGGCCCCGCTACGCTGCCGCGGACCCGGCAAAGGTGCCGGCGGCGTTGGCGGTAGGAGGGAGCATGTCGCTTTTTCTGTCGGATGCTCGACCAAGCTGAACGCGGAATGTGCGCAAAAATCAGCATTCACACGAATTGTCACCGGAAATATCAAGAATGGAATGGTCCGAAAGGCACCTGGATTGTTTTTGCAAACGTTCCGACATCAGGTAACCAGGCAGGTGGTGGAGCGCAGGGGACACGTGTCCCCCTCCCCTTAGGGACCCCCTCGGGACCGACGTTCCTGAGCCTGATGGGCGCCCGGGAGGGGAGGACCCAAATGACCAGCAGGTCTAGCCGAGGGTAGTTTTCAGTGGCCCGGGCCGCAGAGACTGGCCATCAAATAATAGTTAGAGGGCATCTTGCACCGACCGGGGCCACTTCGGACAGTCCCGACCTCTATGTCGGCTCTGTATGAGCCAGGGCCCAAGTTTTTGCTAGTTTTTTTTTGTCACCAAAACCCTAGTCAAACACGCCACAGGCGCGCGAAACGTCTTGCACGGCGTAAAACAATATGGCATGTTCTGCGTGTACACAAACTTGCATGTCTATAGAGAAATAGGTGGTAACAACATTTACTCGCGCACATGTGTGTCAAAAATTGATAAAGAGGTGGAAGCACCTCTACCTGTGGCTACTATGTGAATACTCCAGTGTTTGAGTGGTCTGTTGTATAGTTTGGGCTACGTTTGTGTGCTGTTCTGCGCACACTCGTGTGACTTTTCTTGGTGCCGGCAAATTTAGCGCGTGGACATCACAATTCTGCACCTTTCTACCCGCATCCGTATCCATCCCAGGAATTTTCCCAGCACATGTGCCAAACCCGGTCTGTCACCACTCCAAATGGGTTCATGCGATCAAATGGGGTTATCCCGACCCGTGAGGGTCTTCAACAGAAGCTGCTTCCCAACAAAATGGCTGCAAATGTCGTGCACTTGACGAACTTGGCAAACGAATCGGTGCAGTCAAAGCCGCGCGTTGTAATTTGACCTGGTGTTAATCTTGCACTGCTTTCAAAAAGGATCATCATAGCTCAAAGCAGGAGCCACTTTTAAAACAGGCAAGAAGTCAGCTCGAAACCAGAGTTTCCAACAGCTGCAAACTGCGACATCCATGTTGCGGAACGAACTTGGCAAACCAAATGTCAGCCTTCCAGCGCCGCCGCTGCCTTGGTCCGTCTTTCCGCCATGACGGCACTTTCCAAACACTGCACTGGCCTGGCAGCGCCGCGAGGGACCCTCAAGGCCGTCCAGAACTGCAGACTCGGTATGCAGGCCGACGCGGGGCGGCCAACGCCGCTCCGTCCGCCCACTGCCTCATCATCAAGGTCGGCGCGACCTCCGGGAGGCCTCGTGCCCTGCTGCGGCTCTCCTTCGACCCGCACGCCCGCTCTGCCGCGTGTTCCGTATGCACCTCGGGTCACGGAGAGCCCCGCCGAGGCCCGGTGGCCGCGGCGCCTGTGTGCCCCACGTCTGGGGGTCTCAGACTGACCTCCGGCGTGCCCGGCCGGCCGGCGCCAGAGCCGGGAGTCAGGCGGGGGCTGGACTCGGACTCGACACACCGGTCGCCGTCAGCTTTTGGCGCAATGGCTTGTTTGGTGTGGACCGCACCGGTCGGTAGGGACGGCAACTGACCTGCGCGCCAGCTTCGAGGTGATGGCGAGCACCAGCGGGCACCCCCTTACGATTTCGCTAGTCATGAAATAAACACTTCAGAAATACGACCTAAACCTCCGAAATGTAACGGTCTATGGCTAAAACACACGGGGGGGGGGGTAAAAAAAACTGTGAAAGGCATTACGTGCATCTACGGTCAAAGAACCCGTATGTCATGTGACAATGCTCGAAGCACACGCTAAAGATGCTAATGTTCGCTTACTACCGTATTGTAGTAACATGCATTCACATAGCTTCGAAAAGTTGTACAGTATAGCAAACTGCATCCGCTTGCCCGTGCGTAACACCGGTGCCGAGACAAACGCCCTCAAAAAGCGTACTGTACTGCGCGCAGTGGCACTAGACAACACAAACTGAGTTCGCGGCACGCGTGAAGCGAAATCGCTGGTCACGACACTGAGCCAGTTGAAAGCCCATTCCGCTGAGAACGTACTCGCCTATCCAGGTCAGGAGTAGATTAGCGAGAGACATACTTGTATATATCGTTTGAGTAAGCGCTACTGTCTTCATGTTTAAACATCCAAGGCGCGTCAAAGAGTAAACTAAGAGCAGACAGCGGGTCAAAGCTGGGCTGACTATGAGTACGTACATTACAAAACGCTGCTCAAATTTGCAGAACAACACTTCATATTTACTTTTGGGTTTGATGTGATGTCACGACTTATTAAAAAGAGTGCGGTAAAAGTAGTTATAAGTTTTGGCCTTTCTGTAAGTCGGAAGGTTTTTAGCAGTACACAGAGTGTGATGACTCGCTCCTTAGATAACTGAAGAAACACAAATATTTCAAAGAAATGGCGCTAGAATTGGGATACCAATCCTTCGCCGGGTGGCCACTGCGTAATAAGTTGTGTTAAGCACACAACAGCCAAAATTATTGTCAGCATTGTGCGTTCAGATCAATTTACTCCAGTTAATTTACTTATTCCACCACCAAAGTTACAGAAATGCCTTCCCCATTGAGGAAAAACCACTCGCACTGCTTGCACTACAACCACTGAAATGCACACTTAATATACATACCCACCGAGCATGTGTGACGTCAGCACCACGCCCATACCAGACTGCTCGATGGCCCAAAAACAGGCTATCTGGTGTGTAGTTTCTGTTCATGACGGCTCTGATGCCCCGATAAATAGCGTTTCGTCAAGCCTTCGTTCCGCATGGTCATGGTATTCAATGATTTCCCCACTCCTGATCCTCAGGAGAGGCATCATGACAGGGAGAAACGTGAAAGCGAAGCACGACACGGTTATTGATGTCCTTCTTGAAGGCGATGCTCGATGATTGATTAATCGTTGTCTTGTTCACACCGAAATTCGGGGCCCAGCCTGTCCATTAAGCTAGGTATGTGTGTTCTCTACCCGTCTGCCTTCGATAGAACCTGCGCGATCAACAACGTGCTTTAACAAGTCAGCTGCATCCCGCACTCTGCTGCTTACGTGGGGATTGCATAAGCCGCGTGAGAAAACGTTGGAGAATGTTGGAGGAGCTGAAAAGACGAATACGAAAAGTTCGTATACGTTGCAAATGTAGTCCATTCCATCTTTGCGTGCCGTCCCAATGACAGACAAAGTCACAAACATTTAAAACAGCGACGCCAAACGTCAGACTTAGTCGGATTTGTGATGTCAAATATTGACGCAGTAACTTCCATGAGACCAGCGCCATACTTGGTGTGTGACCAAAACGTGACCAGGCCGGGGCAATACACCGGCCACCCAGCTGAGGTTCGCGCCTCCCGTCTGTCCTACAGCTGGCTGGGTTAGGCCGACTGGACTGTACCCGGTCAGTGGGCGGGGCCCTCCGCCACGATCAACTGCTGCTGACGACCTTCGGCCCGCCCACTGCGCCGCCCACGGGCAGCCCACAGAGTGGCTAGGCAGCCGCCAACAGCACCCGCACACAGGTAACCGCCAACCCGCAAACAATCAACACAAGTCATCCCGAAGTCCCAGCAAAAACGACGGCATGGCCCTCCATCGCACCTATTCGCGGCGTAGTCACAACCTTACCCACAGGCAGCGGCGGACAGCTAGTCATCGCCCCTCTCCTCCCCCACAGCGCGCGTCAGCGGCGTCAGCAGCAGTATTGCCCAGCCCCGCCCGGCGACACGGGTCAGTGGCGTGGCCGGCGGTCGCCACCGGTGGTGTATCGCAGTTACCGGCGCCGGCGGCTGGCTGCCGACTGGGCGTCGCAGTCCCTGAGCGGCCGATGGCGCCCCGATAAGGGCGGGGCGCGCTGCCGATGCTACGAACCTTGCTCGGGGAGCGGCGCGGCGCCGACCAGGGCCACCCGTCCGCGGGGCTCGCGCCCGCCGGCCGCCGGACGGCGAGAGCGCAGCGAGGCCGTGGGGAATAACGCCATCTGGACTTGTGGTAGAGGTGGACGTGGAGGTTAGTTGCCGGTAAGCAGAGCATTTGCGGTTGGGAAACGCGGTGCGAAGGGATGATGTCAGGCCACGGTTGCGAGAAGTTCAAGCTAAAATTTGGAGTGCCAGATTCTCCTAGCACGCTAGATAAATCGCCAGCACACACTTAAAGTGGGTTGGCACGTGTATCAGAATGCTGAGCGTGCTCTTAAAAACCAGGGAGTGGAAAGGCACAAATGTTCGAGAACTTTTAGACCGATAACAATCCAGGAACTGAAAAGATTAAAAATACCGCTGAGCCACCCCGTCCCCCCCCCCCCCCCCCACTACGACACGACTTTTCTCTGGTGGGCTATGTTTAATGTTGCTCTGCTGTAACCAATGTAGATTAAGGTTTCTGAAACGCCTAATGTGTTTGCATGCACGGTCGAGTGCAGAGGTGGAGAACGCGTGTGCCAGGAGTGGCAGCAATCACGTAAACTTCGTCGAGATATGCCTAAGTTTTACATTTTGCCATCAACGGCTGCTCATTCTGACATGTTTCCCACAGCAAGTTACCCACTTCACCCGCCGCCGTGCATGCCTTTCCCCGTCGACGCCAGTTTTTGGTGTGTCCGGGCCTGTTCGCGTCCGGCCTGGGCCCGCCGCACGCGCTGCCGAACGCCGTCATGTCACGCTGCCGCTGGGGGGCTCCAGCGGGGCGGCGCCCGCCACCTCAGCGGCCGCCGGGACGGCATCCGGTCGGGACACCTGCTGACGACCGACCCCTCTGTCCCGCAGTGTGCGGGCCAAACGCGAACACACTGTGCTCGCAACATCGTTTTGAAAATATGTTTGCAATGGCCGGAGTTGTCGGGACCTGGACGCCCGGACGCTGGGAGGTGGGGATTGTGCAATGGCATCGCTTCGTTCCAGTCAATGAGCGCCGCTCCACCTGTTCCCGGCTGTTGAAAAACACGTAAAAACTATGCTCCAGGATTGCCTCTCTCTCGCAGTTACAATGTGATGCAAACGAACGCCATCCCAACATTTGGTTGCTATGCGTTCCTAACAGCCCAGGGATGTCGTAGATCTGTGCTCTCAGACCCCTGGCATAAATCCGAATAACAATTTGCTTTTCGCACTCATCTGTCAAGCTATTTAAGCTTCCCTTGTTTACCTTGTCTCTGAGGACATTCACTCCACAGCACGTAAGCCGCGTCAGCTCTTATGCTACTGACCCACTTAGCAGCCATTTGCGACCGTAATTCTCTTCAGGGCAGCTGTGAGCGTCTTTGCTGGGTGTGACACGTAAAACGGTCTCACCTTTGTGCCGCACTAGGATGGAGATCCTGGTGAGCGGGGAGAATCCGGACTAACACAGATGACAGTGCTTTACCTCCCCTTGGAACAACGGCACTGCAGCCTCTTCTTTGCCGGGTTTCGCCCAGCTCACGCCACTGCCTCCACACCTGTACTGGAACAGTCGAGCCCCAAATGGACCGGCGGCCACCCTCATGACGTCACCTAACGGCGGCAGCGCCGTCCGCTCACGGGAGACATCTAGCGGCCGGGATGCAACTGAAAGTGTCTGGCATTTACGTAAGGGCTGCAAGATATTAGCGCTGAAGCCGAGCACTCGGGTCCGAGTTATTCGCACAACCGGACACGCTTTTGGATTCACACGAGCATTTGAATGCCCAGTTTGTGTGAAAAAAGACCGAATTTCAATCAGCTTGCTTACATTCAATGGCAATTTTCAGGGTAATTTACGCCCTTGCTTTAGTTTTGGTCATTTTTTGCTCTAGTCTTGGTCAGACCATGATATTCATTTATGAGTGCCGATAGCGTAGTGGTCATCGTGTCTGCGTAAACCATTGCACGTCTGGAACACTAGAGGTACGGGGTTCGATTTCCCACGATGCCCGCGTTTCCTGCCAGGTTCAGAGGCAGGCGACGTCGTAGTCTCAGCAGCTGAGTGCGTGGAAACGTCTCAATGATGACGAGAATGGTAGTCATGAAAACAGATTTAGCAAGCATTAAGAAATAAACTTAACAGGTACACGCAATCTAATATAATTATCCCTCCTCTATTAACATCATCATCCCTTTAAAAGTATTTACAGCTATCCTCATTTCTTAACATATCTTTACATCACCCTTCATTTCAGCCGCAGATAAATAAGGTTATCCGTTGACAAAAAAACATATGCAGCGCAGTCACAATTTCAATACCACTACAATGCAAGTCTTCTGAATGTTGCCACGTCACATGACAACTAACTGACACCGCGCATGCATCTTAAACGTATACTTAGCTTTTCCACATTTCGGAATCGATTCAATAGCGAGGTACACGGCCTAACGCAACTATAAAACAAGATAACGCACATGTACAAATTTCCGGACCCGAAGCCCGCCGTCGTACCCCGTATTGTCAAGTATGGCTCCAAGCCGACTGCTTTTGTCAGTTTTTCAGTCAAAAATTTGACATACACCCGTTATTGGTACTTCCCGTTTTGCATTTAAAACTGTCACTGCGTGTTCTAGACCAGAAAATACCTGAATGAGGAGACAGACCACAGGCTGTACGGACATTTCGGCCTCCGGACATCGTGTTACAGTAATGCATTGGGAATTACCTGCTCCAAAGGCAACTGTAGTAGGTACCTAGTTAAAAAACCACCCAACTGTCTTTAATGTTTCCACATCGGTGAGGGCATCTCCACGGCGGCCGCCCATTTGCACATCTGGGACTCTTGAAAAGACGGTCTGAACAAAGTTTCATGCACTTCCAGTTGTGCCGTTAGTCGGCTTTTAGTAGGTGCATATGGTAGTCTCTTATTCCCTCGACAGTGCGCGCCTCAGTCAACCTACCGCTCTGGACATTCACGGCCCTTTCTTCTTCTTGTCATGGCACCCATGCGAAGTGTATGCATGAAATGCGAAATGAGGCGAGACAACAACCAATTTGAAAGCTAAAATCGAGCCTTACAAAAGGTCAGTGAGGTTACTGTGAACAATCTTAAGACCCCGACTTCGAGTCCGGTACAAGTCCGCACACACGGCGCCATCAATAGGGCGTCACCTCTCTCGGAGATACCAACACCATTGTTGGACCACAAGTCACTGGTGGTCAGAACGGGGCAGCCTGGAGCTCGGCCGAGTCCTTCGGAGTCGCGTTCGGCTCGATGGCCTTGCTAACGAGCGCTCAGTTGCTGCGGCAGGAAAGCCCTGCGGTTCCTTGATCTCGTCCCCTTTGCCCACTTTCTCTGCTCAAGATAGCGTTGCATGCTTTGATGCAGTCAGCCACCAAACGTGCCATGTGCCGGAGAATGGTGCCCAGACACCTCCCCGTTGATAGCCGAGAGCACGTTTTTGTGGCACAGCGCGGAAACGCTGGACTAGGAATTGACTCCATCTCTCATTATTACCATCGGATACATTGATCACTGATGATATTATCACCGCACATATTAATCAATGCAGCAACGGTATTGAATCCCGGAGCTATAGCCGTGCGCCGCGCGTGCGTCACGTCAGCAGGCTTCAGCTCCCACGATCGGCGGGATTTGGGGTTCGTATCGAGTTTGCCTCTAGTCCTGGTGCCCATACACAGCGGGCCCAGTTCCCTTGGCCACAAACGCTGTGATCACATCATATACCAGGCGAAGAATATTAACGGCATGCGTGCTTTATTACAAAACACTACGCATTACATAGCGCGGATGTCATGCCTGACAACCGAAGTTCAGAGTGCGTGAACTTAGTATTGTCTTAGTCGTGAACTCAACTTAGTAGTCCGTCACGTGACACCTGGCACAAAACCAGCGCGGAATGTGGACAAAAGGGAGACAGCTGGAAAGTTTTCAGCGACATCCAAGACTAGCTCACGTTTCCCAGAAAGAGGGCATCTGCACGACTGTTCCAAAGTCCGCATTCACGCAATGACAAAGAATGTACAGAAACCCCGGCCATCATCACTCGGAGCTCTGATCATTCCGAAATGTCGACTGTGGGCTTCCCGCATGCGACGTGCTGAGAAAAACACCGCAAACGGCTCAAACCAATAACGTCCGCTTCACTCGGCAAAAGGCTGCAAAAGCGTGATGCCTCGACCTGGCGCCCAGCCCAGCCAATCTCACCACGACCGGCGGGCCCTCTCAAACCGGCCTGCTCGGCCGCGTCTCATTACAACCGCCACGCACACCGACCGCCCAGCACGGTCCAAACGTCCGGTCCGCTCCTCCTTAGTCCACGCTCATCTTAACGCTGTCGAGCCGGCCCCCCAAGGCGGTGATCTCCTCCTGCAGGCGCCGCTTGTGGGCCTCCAAATCGGACGACACGGCCGTCGCTGACGAGACCACAACGCGCATGCGCGACTCGTCGTTGTACGTCTCCATCTTGGCGCGCAGCGTCATGTTGAACTGCTTGAAGTTGGCCCTGCTGAACACCTGCATGAAGGCCTCCATGTCCGAGTCGCGCAGGCGCCCCAGCTCATCTGCAGACACGCCCATCACGGATTCGGCCGTTTCCTGTCAACGTAAGACGTCAGTCAACACCCTGTGACGTCACACACCACCAATCACCGTTCAAGAAGCAGCTTCCGCTATCTGGGCGGGCTCCCGCCAGCGTAAGTCGGTTGCCGATGTCGAACACGGCATGCAGCTGGGCACCGCCTGCACACTGTTACCTCGGCCCACTGCTGACAAACGAGGTTAGTAATCGGTTTGTGGCAAAATAATCCAGAAGACTACAAGTAGACACCCCTGCTTTCTCTCAATAAAAACAATGAGCGAGTGGCTTCAGCTGTCAAAGGCACAGACCTAGGTAATGTTCTTCAACGAGCAGTGAGTCTTTATTAATGGTGGTCGAATAAAGGCATACTGACTGCTTGGCCCGTCGGAGGTGAGTGACCCTCAGTTATTGAGAACGGAGACTAGTTGGGTTATTGGGTGCGACTTGCGACACTGTGCGGTTGAGAGACAAGAACCAGAGGCTTGTGTGCCCCCGGTTGGACTTTGTGGGAAACAGTGAGAACCAAAATCTGTTTTGTCATAGGGATACCTGTGAACCAAGGCTCATGCCTTTGGAAGAGTCGATGAGAGAAAGAAACCACGTTCAAGGCCTGCTAAGTACCCATTGGAGATAAGGATTCATGGTATTATTTGGTCGAAGTGGGAACCAGGACTATGGTCTTATGTGGTGAAAAAGTGGGGATGAAGGTGCAGGGTTTTGTTCTGCAGAAAAAAACAAACAGTGGGAACCATGGAATCTTTTTGTAAAAATTTCCTTTGGGATCTATCGTATCATTTTGTCAAAATTCAGCAGCAATCAGTAATCAGGGTTTGGTTGCGTGGAAAAGAGTCACAACGAACCATGCTACAGGGTCTAATTTCCTTCTCGAAAGAGTTTGCAGGCGCCAGAAGCTGATGTTCAGAACCAGACGTTTGTACGGTCAAGACACATGACAACCATTCATTAAGCTGTGCGCGAGAGCACAGGCACTGGCAAAGGTGCGATGTTATACTGTGCCCAGCCGCGGGGTGATGTGCGTCTTCCCCGCGCACGGCATCACTCTACATGAGTGCAGAGGCTACGAGACGAAGCCACGGGTGGCAGAAGGGCGGGCCCTAGAGACATGTCGTACACCCCGGTACCCACGCAGGAGACTTCGCGCAAAAGACACACACAGGATGACAAACTGACACGAGTTGGGCTCTCGGGCCTCCCCATGTGTGTGGCATTGGGGCTTTACGACCCACTCAGCTGCTGAGGCTATATGGCGTCGCCTACCTCTCACCCTGACATGAAGCGCGAGCACCGGGAGAGGGGGGGGGGAGGAGGGGGGAGGGAGAATCGAGCCGCGTACCTCTGGTTTCCTACACGCGCAGTGGTTAACGCAGACGCGTTAACCACTAAATTACCGGCAACCCTTGGGCCTCCTCACAGGACAGATTTGAAGACAACGCTGGGGTACAATATGTAACTGGTACGTAGAACACCCTGATATCCAACAAAACAAGAGGGAAACCGACGGATGCGGCAGCGCGAAGTACCTGCTTCTGCATGGGTTTCGTCACCCCACGCATAGTGCAGTAGCTGTTGACATGAAGGTTTCTCAACACATTCTGCAAGCCAACAAGGTAATCCATTTTATACAATCTGATACCTTGCACGATACCCACGTATCGTGCAGCAAACAAGATATCAAGTAGTATGCAACGTAATATATAACTACGCAATAATAATTTTATAGCGGCTACCATTCGGCGAACGCCAACGACAGCCCAGGACACGAAGCCACCCAGCACTTCTACCAAGGCCATCCCAAACAACTCACCAAATACAAAGGCTAACACCGATGTTTGCCTTCCACAAAAGGCTAACATCGGTCAAAGCCCGTGAACCAGGGACGCGGCACCGAACATCCGACCCCGCCGTCACGCTGGACCATAGTCTGAGACATACGCACCTGGAAGGCGGTGACCCACTGGTTGCCCGTCATGTCCGCCACGTTCATCTGCACGAGCAGCCGCCAGCGGAACTCCTGGAACGCCTGGTTGCACTTCTCGCACCGGAACGTGCCATCCTGCTGGTCCAGCACCTTCTTCTTGCAGTCGCCGTTCGGGCATGACTGGTAGAGGCAGTTCTCCGACTTGAGCTGCAGCACGGTGGCGCAGACGCTGTAGTAGCCGGCCTCGCCGCCGGCACCGATGTTCTCCAGCTTGGCCTCGGCGAAGGTCTTGAACTTCACGAGCCGATCGGTCCGCTTAGAGATGGACATGGACTCGAGGTTGATACCTTCGTTCTCAAACCAGCCCTTAAGCTTGAACGTCTCGTCAATTTCGGGGTTCAGCCGGATCTTGCTGCTGCTGAGGCCGCTGAGGCTGCAGCCGTTGAAGTCCGAGAGTTTGGCGCCCTTGACGGCCACCACTGGGTTGCCCGAGCCGTCGAAGCTCTCGGCCTGCGAGCCCCACAGCGTCAGCGTCACCTCCAGGTTACTCTGGTCGACCAGCTTCAAGTCCCGCTTCGTCAGCTCCTTGTTCATCTTACGCGACATGATGCGGTCCAGATCGCCGGCCTGCTTGCAGATGCCGATGACGTCCACGAGACCCGTCTTATCCATGGTCTGCAGCTCGGTGATGGGCACGAAGTTGAACTGCATGCCTGGGATGCCGGCGTCGTCGCCGCATGGCTCGATCTGCGAGTCGTGGTTCAGCGTCAGTTCGAAGTCGTGCGTGATCGTGCCGCAGTACTGCTTGTTGGCGGGCTTCAGGGTCGCGCGGCTCAGGTAGTACACCTTGTTCACCTCCAGCATGTCGTAAAACTTGTCGCACTGCTCCTTGAAGGCCGTGCAGCGAATATCGCCACTCTCATCCAGCAGCTCGAACGAGAAGAGCTTGCCCTCGCCGCGCGCATTGCTCCACGTGCGCACGTCGCCCTTGCTCGTTACGCGCGCCTTGATCGTCCACTTGTTGGCGTAGGGCGTCAGGTGCGCGATCGGTACCACATTTTGTACGTTGACGGCGCCAGCGGACGGCGCGAAGGCGGCAGGCTTCGGCGCGGGCCGCGCCGCCGGAGGTCCGCCGTTCGAGTGAGGCGGCGCGGGCGCCGCAGCAGGCGCCGGCGCCGGTGGTGGCGCAGCTGTTGACGAGTACGCCACTGGGTTGCCGATCTTCTTGGCCTCCGCGCCCGGCACGAGCACCGTCAGGTCGAGAAGGATGAAGACCTTCTTGGCACCCCCCTGTACCGTATTGGCCACGTAGCGGTTGAGCCGGATTATGGTGTTGGGCGCCAGCTGGTTCTCGTGGATCATGTGCGTCAGCTGCGTGCCCAGCATGGCCAGGCTGTTCATGTGGCAGCCGTCCGAGATCAGCAGCCGGTACCGATCTGTGTCGCCTGCGTACGAGCACAACGCGTCAGGGTGCACCAAATAGGCCGTGGCAGAGTGACCGAGCAGGAAAGAGACAAATAGAGAGGATGCAGAGCAGAGGGAGGATGGAGAGCAGAAAGAATGGATAGCAGAGACGGAGACGGAGACGGAGACGGAGACGGAGACGGAGACGGAGACGGAGACGGAGACGGAGACGGAGACGGAGACGGAGACGGAGACGGAGACGGAGACGGAGACGGAGACGGAGACGGAGACGGAGACGGAGACGGAGACGGAGACGGAGACGGAGACGAGACGGAGACGGAGACGGAGACGGAGACGGAGACGGAGACGGAGACGGAGACGGAGACGAGACGGAGACGGAGACGGAGACGGAGACGGAGACGGAGACGGACGACGGAGACGGAGACGGAGACGGAGACGGAGACGGAGACGGAGCGGAGACGGAGACGGAGAGAGAAGAGAGAGAGAGAGAGAGGAGAGAGAGAGAGAGAGAGAGAGAGAGAGAGAGAGAGAGAGAGAGAGAGAGAGAGAGAGAGAGAGAGAGAGAGAGAGAGAGAGATGCAAGGCAGGAAGAGAGAGATGCAAGGCAGGAAGAGAGAGATGCAAGGCAGGAAAGAAGAGATGCAGGCAGGAAGAGATAGATTGCAAGGCAGGAGAGAGAGATGCAAGGCAGGAAGAGAGAGATGCAAGGCAGGAGAGGAGAGATGCAAGGCAGGAAGAGAGAGATGCAAGGCAGGAAGAGAGAGATGCAAGGCAGGAAGAGAGAGATGCAAGGCAGGAAGAGAGAGATGCAAGGCAGGAAGAGAGAGATGCAAGGCAGGAAGAGAGAGATGCAAGGCAGGAAGAGAGACAGATGCCAGGGAGGAAGAGAGACAGATGCAAGGCAGGAAGAGAGAGAGATGCAAGGCAGGAAGAGAGAGATGCAAGGCAGGGAGAGAGAGATGCAAGGCAGGGAGAGAGAGATGCAAAGCAGGAAGAGAGAGATGCAAGGCAGGAAGAGACCGAGGAGCGGGGCAGGAAGAGACCGAAAGACAAGGCAGCAAGAGACCGAGAGGCAAGGCAGAAAGGGACAGAGAGGCAAGGCAGAAACAGACAGAGAGGCGAGGCAGAAAGAAACAGACAGGCAAGGCAGAAAGAGACAAAGAGGCAAGGCAGAAAGAGACAGAGAGGCAAGGCAGAAAGAGAAGGAAAGAGGCAAGGTAGAAATAGATGGAAAGATGCAAGGCAGAAAGAGACAGAAAGAGGCAAGGCAAAAAGAGGCAGAGAGAAGTGAGGCAGAAAAGGGCAAGGCAGAAAGAGGCAAGGCAAAAAGAGTTGAGGCAGGGAGAACAAGACAGAAAGGGGTGAGGCAGGGAGAAAGAGGCAGAGAGAGGCAGAAAAAGAGGCTCAGAGAAAGAGGCAGAGCAAAAGATGCGGGGAGAATGATGCAGAGGACACAGAGAGGAAGACACAGAAAAACAAAGAGAAAGAAGCAGAGAAAAGGGCAAACAAAAACAAAGACAGAACAAGGGAGATGGAATGACAGATAAAGAGGCAGAAACAGAGATACAAACAGGTAGAAAGAGGGAGAGGAAAAGAAAGAGAAATGGAGTGAGGAGATAGAAAGAGGAAGAGAAAGAAAGATATAGAAAGAAGAAAAGGATGGCCATGATGGCCACACTTCCAGCTCATAAGGATGCATTAGGGCAAAGAGAGGAAATACTCAAAAAAGATGTGGGTGACATACCAAGGATAACATCAGAATGAAGACACTCCCTCAAATTATATGCACCTGACATCACAGTACAGAGAGAATACCAAGACAAGAAATGACAGGAAATGCCAAAAATGCCACAACACAAACAACACATACATTAAAAAATTTGACTCCAGTGCGATATATCTATAACCTTGGACTTTTTTAATAAGTTGAGTTATTATTAAATAAATTATTTTATCAATCAATAAAATCATCATTAACAAAATCAGGCTGCTAAATGTATCACAGATAATGCTTTTAATTAATTCATACAAGACAGAAAGATCTATGGGATCTGATTTAATCACACTGATTGAGAGGATCCTAAAATCCTTTAAAGACAGGCTAGACCAACAAGTAGGTTAGATACCAAGTCAAGGTGATGCAATTCCATTTATTATTGATGCATGCTATATCAGCATTAGTTTTGTATTGTTTTTTCTTTACAGGGTTATTTATATTTCTGGGTTCACTATGATTATGCAACATGGCTTAGCCCCAACCCGCACTTCAAAACTAAATATTACATCAAACGGCACCGGTGTAACAATGATATGATGACCATGATCTCAATGTATGTGCTACCCATCCAAGTGCCCATAGTTCGATACCAGGCCACAACAAAATTTCAGGATGCAGATAGCTAGCACCTTCAAAGCCTCATCTACAGTTTTGAAAGGGCATTTTTCAGATAAAGTACTTTGAGTAAGAAAAGTTATAGCCCTCATCACCAATAAACCACCCCCACAATTGACAATTTTTGCAGACTTGCTCCAAAGTTGGCATTGAAAGTGTGGGTGGCAACAACCTCAAGGCCAGACCACAAAATAGGACATGCTACCCATAGCACACTTCATGTAGAAATTGATTTGACAGAGGACAGTAATTTAAGAACTCCAGTTCACCAAAGCGGGAGCATAATGCATCGAAAGGGTCTTCAAATTCTCACAATGGTAAGAACATCACATCCAAATGAGACTAAATTGACACGCTAACACTCACCAGCGACTTTCTTGTGGCTCATAACCTGTAGTACAGCATCTTCCACTTTGCCTCCCTGGAGCATCGTTGCAATAGCTCCAGACGTTAGCTTGTGATCCATAGTGGCGACCTTATTTAGACGCGAGTTCTATGCACATTTATCGTTCCTAACCTTGTATCAGGTCAAACGCATTCAACGTAACGCGGGCAAACACAGCCACCCCAGCAGTCACGTTCCGGCTTGTCTGGATGGCGCGAATGCGAATCGAAAACAAATAAGGTGTAGCAAGTTCGCACATATCTCACTGCGACTCATCTAGCTTGATACTAATGCCAATAGCCAATCAAAACGCTTTTAATATTGCTCACGTATTATTCAGCTGATCTTCAACGCTCTGATTGGTGTATCAGTACGCATCCTGCTATCGAACTTAATGCGACGTTTCGCGCGTTTATGATTATTTGAAGTTCTTGACCATTTGCGGAAATGTTTTGTTTCTCAAAAAAACAGTTATTAACAAGAACGCCAGTTATTAGGAGCAAATTTCATGAATTTTATGGATGCCAGGTAACACCAGCAATTTTCAGGATTTTCCAACAAACATGAGACAAAATAGTCAGTGCTGTTTTTAAGAACATATAAGTTTGAGCTAATAACTCATAGTGCACTTCAATATCATTTTATTTGATCAGTTCCTACTATGTTTTTGTCTCAAAGTGTAGTGAAGTTGTTTTTTAGGATGGATTAGCAAGAAATATCAGAGTTCTTCTGGTTGTTTACAGCAGCGCTGTCAAAAGTCCTTTCAGGTTCCGCTGTAGCCGGGCAAGGTGCGTCAGTTACGTATATGCGGATAAATTGGCGTTTCTTTGGCTGATCTCAAGGTACTCTGAACTTAAGACCCTTTAGGAATCTATCAAATTATTTTTAAATTTTGTCTGATTGCGTTGTTGCGGTAGGCAAATTGTCCGATGCGTGCACGCAGCGTAATGATTGTGGGCCTGTGTGCTGGATTGAAGTTCGAGTATGTGAAACATTCGTCATGTAAATTGGAAATAGCTTATATAGTAGAAAGACGAAAGTGCATTTATCGTAGCTGTGTTAAGGGCAGAAGGGTATGACCGGGAAGTTATAAAATAACCATAAGGTGAATGAGTAAATATGGGTTGAGTTAAGATTTGATCATCTGGATGATAGCAAATATATGCTCAAATTAAGTGCTACATGTTCAGATCTCTGTGCTCTGTAAGTTAAGTTTGGGAGGTGTGTCATAGGATTTTCCCCACACAAGACCCAGTTATTTTTAGTTTAGTCTAACTGACCCCCAGCTAGGGTGGCCTGTGTATGGGGGGGGGTTGTCTAATGTAGGTCCATGCACTTTGCCAGAAGTTGATGCAATGTTGTGTGCTGGGTGTTGCACTTGTCTATGCAGATATTATGCTAGGCAAAATTGTACTGCATTTTCAAACTTCATGGGCACATGTTAAGCCAAAAGTTATCTGAGGCATGGCAACTGTACAGAACACTGGCTCTATGCTGAAAATGCTGGTGACCTTAGGACAAATTCAGCATTTGGAATTATGGCATGCCCTTGAATTGCTGCTTGGATGTTGCCCTTCTGGTACACATGTTTAGAATAGCATACTTATTGCAGTATGGGTTGGTAAGTGGAGCTACTTGGCAGGTTAAGTGATGTTGGTACAGGTTAGGCAAATCATTGATGGGATATTCAGTTTTTGTACATTCTGGTTTAGACCTCAGTGCAGTTGAAGTGATTTCAAATCCCAGGTTTATTGCCAGGAGTCATGCAAATCTGCTTGCTCTGTGCCACATGAGGTCTGTCAGGCATAGTAGCAATATTGATGCGACAATACTATGGTGTGTAGGCAGGTCAGATGCAGCACATCTTAACCTGAGGTCCAGTAGTTTGATGCATGTATCTCACCTATTTAGTACATGGGGCCAATCTAGGAGGAAGTACAATATTGCAAAGGTAGTTTCCCACTAACATGCTTTCATAAGTTTTTTAGTTCAAAGGTGATTCCCAGATTTAGCTCAATTTTGACTGGCCCAATGTTGGTGCTCAGAAGTGTCAGGTTTAGGCGTGGGTGTGCAGGGTGTTTAGTGCAATAAATGCTTTTCAGGCTGCTGGCTAATGCAGTACTGATTGCTGAACTAAGGTAATAGCATAGTTGTTATTTGTCAAATGATGTTGTAATTACCTTTACCAAACTTTATCTGCCGCCATTTTGTGGTACTGAACTAGTTACTCATTATATCCTCAGATTAGTAGTTGCCAAATTCATGTGATGTCAGCTGGGATGCGGGTGTGCAGAATGTGGTATGGGCATGTGTAGCTTAAACCAGAATGAGTCAACTTATATTTCAAATATTTCGTTGTTCAGAAAACATTGTGTATTTTTGCTTGAAAGTGTTTTTTTAGCATGACAGTCCCTGGAGTCATTGCTGAATTTGGTGGCAACTATGCACTGATCTCAAGGAGTGAACTTGAGATTTATGGTGTGAATGCTTTGAAAGAAATTGCCAGAGCACTATTGCTTTGATTTTTTTGCAGTCTGTGCCTCAGGTGAACAAGCTGTGGATTTTGTTAAAAGCAGTCGGTGCCATCTGTGCTAACTGGCTGTGTGCTTGAATATTAATGGGGAATGCTGCTTCACAATTAGGACATGAAGGGGGGAAGATTCCTGTACCTGATCCCAGCAATGATAGTCATGTCATGATTGGACTGACCGGGACTTTAAGCTCCTTCAAAGAATATAACCAAGTCACTTAAGCCCTTGGTATGACATTACCTATTTTGTCAGTGGCTGTTATGTTACATGTCTTAGTAAATTTGAAATTTGATGGCTATTGCCGACATGTCAAAGTGGTCAGTCAGTGTATCATGTTTATCTGTTTTGAGGCATCACTGTGGAACAGGGGAGCGAGTTGTGAATGTGCTATGCATGTATCAGTTTTCTCAAGGATGTCCTGCCACTTGGGTAGAGTTGCAAGTGGAGCAAAGTCACATGCTGTTGGAAGTATGCAGTAGTGTGAATGTGTGAATTTTGGTATGAATTTTCAATCATGAGAGATTCTGGGGACATCTACAAACACTGATGATGGGCTAGTCCACTGTAATGCGGGTAATGTATTGTAAACCTTTTTTCAGATGGCTACAACGAAAATAGTCAAGAAGACTGGCGAGAAGCCGACCGACTTTGAGAGCTCTATTGGCCAGGCTCTGCTGGAGCTGGAGGCCAATACTGACTTGAAGCAGCAGCTGAAGGAGCTGCACATCACTGCAGCCAAGGAGGTCGAAGCTGGAGACAAGAAGGTATGCATCAATTGCAGGTTGGCTCTGTGCTGTCCTGCTAGCTGTAAGCTTCATGGTATTAGCAGTGTTGTTCATTCCAAGGAATAATCACAATGCATGGGGCCATGCTTGTATATTTTTATATTGGCCCAGTCTTCCTTGGTTCACATCAAGGCACTACACTTCGGGTAGATTTTGGAAAGTGTTATATTGGACTTCCTCTAATCAACAATGTATTTGTGGGTTGTGTATCTGTTAGTGAGTCATCTGGTACATACGCCTTTGCTGTGTAGTCAGTTTCACCTTTCCACCTTTGCTGGGTGCTGGGATACTGCATTGGCCCCTTAAAGCATCACAAAATGGGCAGATCTGTTGTTTGCAGATGAGAGCCATGGTTGCCCATGTCAATCAATCCACATGGTAACTTATGTGATTGTCTATCTGGACCCCATAGATGTCTTATTCTCATGTCATCGTGGCTCTGTATTGTCTGGATTTGTACCTGCATTTTGACCCATGTTCTTCACCTCACATTTGGCCACTTAAAACTTGACAATTTTCCTTGTGCATCAAAATCATCAGATGCCAAATAAGTTTGCATTAACTAGTGGTATTATTGCATTATCACAGGCAGTAATTGCTTTGTCAAACAGACTGAAAATGCCTAACAATTTATGTAGCAAATCACACCAAGCAGGCTCCATGACACTTCAGCTGCATGACACTGGTGAAAGTGGCTACAAGGCATCAGCTTGTGTAAAGTGTGATGGCCATTGCTGGAATGGGTCCCCCATGTCAACAGCTCTGTCATGGTCCAAGTACTTCTGACATGGCATGCAGCCCTGCTTGTAATGGTGTGGCTAGTGCTGATATGGCTGTGCAGGGTTCTGCCATGTTGTGTTTTGTCCATGCTCTCTCACGTCGTGTGTCGAGTCCGACGCGGCATGCGGCCCTGACTGCGATCATGAGGCGTAGTGCTGATGTGTCTGTGCAGGGTACTGCCACATTGTGTTTTATTCACACCTTCACGCATAGTGTGGGGAGTCTGTGTCGAGGGTCGCACCTAGAGTAACAGAAGAAGGAGGAGGAGAAAGCCAAAAGCCTGCATCTGCTGAAGACTTAGATATTAACATCATGGCATTACTGTGGGGATATAAATTGTGTCTGCCCTCCCTCCATTCCCTTGTATGATCTCAAACCAGGCAATGGTGTGGTGATGGAATGAGATTCCTTACAGTGGGCCAGATATTTGAAGCATTCGTCATGAGCTTGTTCACAAGGGATGCAGATGTAGGGAGTGCCCTGCAGGGCTGGCACCAGCTTTCTGAATCACTGTCCGCTAGTTTGTGGTGGTTACAAATTGGGTGCCAGAAACTTCTGGGGTAAAAAAGTGGTTAAGATTGATGGCCAGTTAAAGGCAAGAAGTGGTGGAAATGTTTGATTGTTAGCCAAGTTGCTGTCCTTGACAGCCAGTGCACACCATATTGAAAAATGTTTGATGACAGCTAGCAAGCTGCTAGCAGGGATTAAGTCCACTGAAGGAGAGTTTTTAGTCGAGCATGTGGAACATTGTGACATTTCCTGAAGTGCATTGCATCTTTCTGCCAGCCTGATTGGTCTGTACCTTGATATTTCCACTTTGGGTGCTGCAGTGGTGGACAAGTTCTAGTAATAAACAGGGTCTGAAGAAGGTGAGCAGGTCCTTCTGGTGCTCGCGTGGTTGCAGTAACTGAAACCAAGGTGCTGGTGCTAAAGTTACATTATTTCTATCATCTGCCATTTCCTCATGTTGATTTTTTTTCTTTTTGCTATTTCAGTCTTTGTTGCATGTTGCAAAATAAAAGTAAACCCTGCACATGTGGGACCAATCTGCCTCAGTAGTCATGCTGTGATGGATTGGCATCGGCCGACCGGCGGGGCGTGGTCCGGCTGACCCCAGCTCGGCCGGCGGAGCGTGGTCCGGCTGACCCCAGCTCAGCGGGCGGGGCGTGGTCCGGCTGACCCCAGTTCGGCCGGCGGGGCGTGGTCCTGCTGACCCCAGTTCGGCCGGCGGGGCGTGGTCCGGCTGACCCCAGTTCGGCGGGCGGGGCGTAGTCCTGCTGACCCCAGCTCAGCGGGCGGGGCGTGGTCCTGCTGACCCCAGCTCGGCCGGCGGGGCGTGGTCCGGCTGACCCCAGCTCGGCGGGCGGGGTGTGGTCCTGCTGACCCCAGTTCGGCCGGCGGGGCGTGGTCCGGCTGGCCCCAGCTCGGCGGGCGGGGCGTGGTCCTGCTGACCCCAGTTCGGCGGGCGGGGTGTGGTCCGGCTGGCCCCAGCTCGGCGGGCGGGGTGTGGTCCGGCTGACCCCAGCTCGGCGGGCGGGGTGTGGTCCGGCTGGCCCCAGCTCGGCGGGCGGGGTGTGGTCCTGCTGACCCCAGTTCGGCGGGCGGGGCGTGGTCCGGCTGACCCCAGCTCGGCCGGCGGAGCGTGGTCCGGCTGACCCCAGTTCGGCGGGCGGGGTGTGGTCCTGCTGACCCCAGTTCGGCCGGCGGGGCGTGGTCCTGCTGACCCCAGCTCTGCCGGCAAGGCCCGGTTCGCCTGACCCCAGCTCGGCTGTTCTGTCCGGCAGGCCATCGTCGTGTTCGTGCCGGTGCCCCAGATGAAGGCGTACCAGAAGATCCAGACGCGGCTGGTGCGCGAGCTGGAGAAGAAGTTCAGCGGCCGCCAGGTGGTGTTCATCGCGCAGCGACGGATCCTGCCCAAGCCCACGCGCAAGATGAACAACAAGAGCAAGCAGAAGCGCCCCATGAGGTGAGCACGCCGCGTGCGGTGCCTCAGGTCGCAGCACTGGGACCCGTGGGTAGTGGAGAAACATGGATTTGAGGGATGCTTTGAAGGTGTCAAAGAGATGAATGTTACCTCAGGCCACAGCTGTTTAAACGAGGGGTGTCCGCACAAGCGTCCACGAAAGCTGCTGCTCTGTGTCATGTGTGCTCTGCACTACAGGTCCTTGGCCAACGGACCTTTTCGCGAGGTGCTTTAGCACCACCAGTGGGTGTCCGTTTGCTGTTTGCATTCCAGAGGAGCTGCAGGGGTGGTTTGTGGCTCAGTGCATAGTGCTCGTTGCTAAGCGTGGTTGACTGGTCGGCTCCACCATTCGGGTTTCCACGTTGTCGATGACGCCGACTGATAACTTTTAAAGAAAGGGATGGTTTTTAATTGCGGGCCATCAGCGTGATGTTTTGCCAGCCCGCACCAACGCAGTCGGCTGCTCGTGCACTCCGTCCTCGCAGTGCTGATCGCGTATCAGGTGCCACGCCCTCTAGCAGCGGTGCGCGTGGGGCGGCCGATAGTTCGGGCCGGTAGATTGCGGCCCGGCTGGGCCGCCAGGGATCTGCTCGGTTGATGCAGATAAGCCCTGGTTGGTTCACCAGGGCTCGGTTGGTGCAGATAAGCCCTGGTTGGTGCACCAGGGCTCGGTTGGTGCAGATAAGCCGCGGCCAAAATGTGCGCTGGGCGGATATCGATCGCAAGACATCCTTGTGTCTTCTTCATGACGTCTTCGTGTCTTCTTCCGTGTCAATGCTCGGCTCCTCGAGCTGCGTGGTCGGTGTGCTGGCGATGGCGTTCAATCACTGATCACATGTCAAGTAGCCTGGGTAGGACGTTTGAACGCTGCGAACTGAGCCCATGTTTTAAGATCAGTTTTCACCGAGGTCTTGGGGGCGGGGGGGGCAAGCTCTAATGCATAAGCCACGTTGCCGCACCACCAACTGGCAACACAAGCTTCTCACGTGATAGTGGGGGTGTGTCACCGTAACCCCCAGCCGTGTGCCGCTGCGTGACCCTTAGACATATGCCGCTGTGAACCCAGCCGTGTGCTGCTGCGTAACCCTTAGACATATGCCGCTGTGTAACCCAGCCGTGTGCCGCTGCGTGACCCTTAGACATATGCCGCTGTGTAACCCAGCCGTGTGCTGCTGCGTAACCCTTAGACATATGCCGCTGTGTAACCCAGCTGTGTGCCTCTGCGTAACCCTTAGACATATGCTGCTTTGTAACCCAGCCGTGTGCCTCTGTGTAACCCTTAGACATATGCCTCTTTGTAACCCAGCCGTGTGTCGCTGTCTGGCCCCCAGCCGTGTACCGCTGTCTAACCCGCAGCCTTGCACCGCTGTCTTACCCCAGCCGTGTACCGCTGTCTTACCCCCAGCCGTGTACCGCTGTCGTAACCCCCCCCCCCCCTCCCCGTCGTTCCGCAGCCGGACGCTGACGCACGTGCACGAGATGATCCTGGAGGACCTCGTGTATCCGGCCGAGATCGTCGGCAAGCGCATCCGGATCAAGCTGGACGGCTCGCGGCTCATCAAGGTGCACCTGGACAAGACCCAGCAGACCAACATCGAGCATAAGGTCAGTGTGCGGGCGGTGGTCCGTGGGGCGGCCGCTGGCCGTGGCGGGCGGGGCAAGCGGCGCCGAGGCGCGCTGTGGTTATGATTCGGTCGCGGCTCATTCGGCAGTGATCGGTGGGTGTGTGCACTTCGTCAAAGCCGTGTTTTTAAGTGTCCCAAAACTGTGAGACGTCATGTCTGGTATTGTAGTTGCCTGAAACAGGCAGTGCATCCTAGGACTCCGCGACGTCACAGAAACAATGCACTGCCTGAGGTGGTCCATAGGCCTGGATGGTTGAATTGGATGACTTGGTAGTGTAATGGTCAAGCTGCGTGTCTGGGAAACTAGAGCTGTGGGGTTGGGTTCGTTTCTCCGCGGTGCCCGCCCTTCCTGCCAGGGTGATAGCCAGGCGACACCATATAGCGTCAGCGGCTGAGACCATTGAACGTGGATTGCTCTCTTCCCATGTTGGCGTCTGGATGGTTTCGGGTGACATTGTGGTGGCTCAACGGATTTCCGCGAAATCGTGTGATGTGCCGCATAGAAAGCAGCATTTTCAACAGATGTTAAGTTGTTTATTGTTGATGGGGCTGCGAAATGCTCCAGGGGTTCATGCATGGCAACAGCCGGCAGGTCACCCACCGTGTGTTTGTCTAAGTGGGTTCGTTTCCAGTCATATGTTATTATTCATGTCTCATGTGACGTTGGGGCGATCGTAAATGTGTGGGATTCTTAAGCTCCAAATGCCTAGCATTGCAGCTTTCGACCTTTTAAAATTACTGGCATAATCCCCCGCCCAAGATACAGTTTAGAACAACACTGTTCAACAACTGTTCGGAACGTGAAAATCAGACACTTCAAATCATGGCTTTATTCGTTTGCGCTGTTGTTAAAGAGCATTGTTGTCTCAGCTGACCGGCGTGCTCAGCCCCGCGGGCTGTGACTCGGTCCGCAGCGTCGCTGACCTCGCTCCCCCTTTACAGACTGATACCTTCGGAGCCGTGTACAAGAAACTGACGGGCAAGGACGTGACGTTCGAGTTCCCCGAGCCGTACATGTAAACTTAGGTATAATACACCCCGAGACGGGAAGCTGCTCCTGGTTTGTGACTGCGCCTGCAGAAAGGGGCGAAACGCGGCCACACTGCTGATGCGCATGCCGCCGGAAGCGAATACGCAGTGGGGAGAATGCTTCGAACTCATGCTCGCCTTCCCCGCACACGCCGAATCCGGTCTTACGAAGGTACAAAACTCAGAGATGTGCCGTTTCCAGCAGGATTAAGTCGGGGTAGACCAGGCTATCAAAGTGTGCGCGAGGGAAGAAACGGTGGGAAACTGAAGCGTTGCAGCTACCTACAGATCCTTGCGTGTTTTATACCAACTTCAGCGACAGTCGGCTTGTGGTCCGCTGGGGCCCGGCTCTGAAGGTTGCAACTGCCCGGATGGGAGAGAAGATACCGCTTCCCCCCAAGCTCTGCCCATATTTTTCCAAAGGAGACAATGTGTCGTCAAATCGAGGTGGTTAAGAAAACAAGTCGAGCCAGGCGAATGAACACAGTATGTAAGTGAAGGGTTATGTTGGAGCTTCGACTAGGCATCACGGCAAAGCCGTTTTTGGGCGAGAGCTATCGTTTGGCAACAAGGACTGGTGTGTGGGATCGGGTCCCAACGGCAGGCGCGACGTACGCCTGTCTGGGACGACGGGACCACGATTCCAACAGGCCATACTTCGGCTTCTGGTAACGCACACAAGCGACGGATCGGGTCACACGCACGCGGCCCTTTCAGAGGTCGGGGTTCCCACCGTATGCGGGCGGTGATAACAGAGCCGTAATAGCCAGGTCTGGTTGAGCTATAGCTTAGCTACCACGTGTGTTAAACATAATAGGCCGGAGGATAGTCACACGTGTGGCCTCGCTCAGGGACCCGGTCGCGCCCTTGGAAGTGACGGCCATCGCCAAATATGCCCGGTGTTATTACCCACCAGACACGTCGGATTACTTATATGTATTCCCGGGAGCCGAGTCCTGGTTCCGGCACCAATGAGAAACCAGGAGTTAGGCGAGGTCAGCCGAAGGTCCAGTATAGAATGTGCCGAATGAACCAACAATAATCCTTGTCCAGTTGGACACTAGCAGGAGAGCAGACATGTGCGCGGTTCCCAATGTTGGTTCATGCGTCCCACTTATGGAAACGATGCCCTGGATCCTGGTGCTGGCCGGCTGTGTCATATGTACGTCAACTCTCAGTTCGTTCGCAGATATGCCACGGATTCCTTGTTGCCTTTCGGTACTTCACCAAGTTTCATACTCTGGTGCACGGCTCCCATTCGCTGGCTTTTCACAAGCAGCGGGCCCTGGTTCCCATTGGTCAACTGGTCATTTTAGAAACGCCAGACCTTGGTTTTTTGTTCCAGCGATTCCCCTACAAAGAACAAGGGCTGGTCTCTATCGATTTGCTCACTAAAAGCCAAATTCAGCCTCTTAAGGCCTGTTTCGCATTGCTCCATTCCCACACTCTAGCCCTGATAACCATTTGTGTATTGTCTGCCAGTAACGTCGCGTGTGGAATAAAAGGCAGACCGCACGCGCTTTGAGATATTTTCTTGTGCAAATGGGACAATCAGCGCGTAGATACCCTTCAGGTTCCCCTGGCGTGCTTCTGGATCTTACTTTTTTCTGGATCTCCAACTTTGTTTCTAGCTGGTCCACGTGTTCCTCCTAGCTCCGAAGCGGGTTCCTGGGAAGGAACTTAGAAACGAGGTAAATGTCGGGCCGGAAAAAATTAACAAGAATCAACGTGGTCTAGTATCGTAGGCAAGTATCACCTATCCTTGTTTTTGTATGTATACATACATTATACATGTATTATGTGTATATATATATAACGACTGGATATAAAGATATCCAGACGTTTTTTACTTGGCAATTGGTGAAAACCGCCAGCCACTAGGAGGGAATCTTCTGCCCCTTAATTTTTCGTAGTTTCCGAGCAAAAAGTGCCAGCCAAGTTCTCGGCCGCTCCAATTTACATGATGCACAAGTCGCCACGGATGGTCGGCCAGGCCGTGCCAAGATTCATAAATCGAATAAGCGCCGGCCTTGTTTGCTGTCGAAAAAGCTCCTTGGGTCACTGGACAGTGTGGGAAGCCGAGAGTATGTGATCTCTGTGTGCATTGGCTGTTGATTTGTAGCGTGACACACGCGTCGTTATAAGCCTGCGCGCGAGACCGGCGTCTGTCATGTGTTGGTTCAGTTCGATCGTGGGGGTTACCTGAGAACTTGCAGCTTTCGGCTTGACCAGACCGATGGCGGCCGGTTTTAAGGGTCTGGACTTTTTACCGCAGCTACCATTAAAGGAATATGTTCTCGATTTTTTTGCGATGTGACAATTGCCCGCGCAATGTGTCGCGTGAGAAATCGTGACTTTTCCAACGTATTGGGTTTGTGTGGCCAAATGCTCAGGAAGAAAACAGCAGAACTATTTGTCCGCTAACTTCCATTCTTATTTCAGTGTCCCCCATCCATTCGAGGTCCATTTTCCCTGAGCAAATACCGAACTAAGATGACCCCGGGTCCAGATACGTGTTTCAACACAGCGAAGGCATTCGAGCAATGTCAGACAAATCACAGATGTGAACTCTCAGTATATTGCTTGTGCATGACCACTCCATGCCATGCCAGTGGAATCGCTACCGTTATTTTCGGGGCTCCCATGGCATGCATTTTGTGCTGGGAACATGTGGCGCATGGTAATGCATTTATCATCATCATCCATTCACCACCCTCCTGCTGCCGCTGCCTGGGCGGTTGTCTTCCTTGACGCAAGCGTGATTTGGTTACGTCTTAATCCCGCCTTGCTGAGAACCTCGAATTATCTCCTGGAACTTCGTTCGGGTTGTGAACATCCGTTTTAGAGCGTCGTGGCATACGTGAGGGGCATTTTATCCCAATGGCGCTGATCGCGCGATATTTTGTGTCCTTTCCGAGGATTTTTAACAGAGCAGGCTTTGAAGCATAATTTGGAAAGTTTCTTTGAAGCCTCGCGCGGAGGGTCGCGTACTAAACATCGACGGCGGAAACATTGCGGCGAGCAGAAAGCAGCGCCACCTTTGTTGTAGTTATTACTAGGCGCGATAGATGGCGCTGTGGGATGTGGTAGGTTGATGTAATACTAGAGGTTCGTCAAGACAAGAAGCTTCTAGGTATTGTATGAATTCCTTCCTGGAATGGAATGCAGACTTATGCAGTTATCTCAGCTACAATCATTTGAGGCATTGTGAGAGCCACGCCACTGCTCGTGAATTCCGCCACATCGGCAATTATTAACTAGTGTTGGAACGCGTGCAGTGCAACAACACCTTCATTCACTTGGCCTCATTATCAATATGATAGCAAGTCGTGCCTTTTGTGCATCTAACATCCCGACGTTATAACGGTACGTCTTAAAACGATGGAAGAGAAAAGCACGTTGGTTGAAATGGATAAGGCTTTCGTGTCGGCGTCTTGAAAACGGACAAATGCGACAATGCTTCTGTAGAGAATGCGCGATAGCATTACCTCACATTTGGAGACGGTATATTGTGACAATGGAGTGGTTCCCAGAAAATTGGCATTGATGTTGGCATTCAGTGGCACGACTTCCCATGCATGTACGTTGGCTAGTCCAAGTTGATTGCCAGAATCAGACATGCGTCTTGAGTTTCCCAAAAAAGACCTAATGATACCATTAGCATGGAAGCTTATGGGATTATGGGTCCAACATTAGGACCCAGGCGCGTGTTGGTCAGGTCAGGTCAAGTAAAATAGGTGGAGTGAGCTGGAGACAGTGCGAACGTATGACACCATGACATGACGTATGACAGTATGACATGACGTATGACAGTATGACGGTATGAGCGGACGAAGCAAGCAGCACGTGCACCATAACACATATCCGAAATTTACTCGGTCTAAGCCGCAGCATGCTGCCCACCTGTTAAGCCACGGGTCCACCAGTCTTGTCTTAAAACAGTGCAGTGAAAAGCGATAGAGCTCACGATACAAACGTGACTTACATATGTCAAGGACGGCACATCCGCAGCTCGAGAGCTATTACCGTCGGAACGTGGGCAGTTTTCAATGCATGTCTGAGGATTGAACCAGGGCAGTTTTCCAGAATTAATGTACAAACTAAAAACAGCTTGACTTGACCGTCAGTTTAAGAGAAAACTTCGTCTGCTATAAAGGTACCCAATGGTCTAATGTGCCAGTATATCTTAGCAGCACGTCAAACAACATATTGGTATACGTTGGGTACTATCAATCAGCTCTTACTGATGGACAGCATTGCGACAGCTAGTTCTACAAAGAGCACGCGGTGATATGACCGCGTATTTTGGAACGCTACTTCATGCGTATGAAGCAAAGCCACTTCCAGAAAAAGAATATTGCCACTGTTGACCTTTTGCCACCTTGATCAACATGCTCAGGATAAACGCAGTTTATAGAAGAAAAAAAACTGGACATCCTTTTGAGAACAAAAATAACGAGGCAGACTAACTGAAAATGCGGACGTGTTTGTGGACCAGCGTCCGACTCATCCACATGTCACGCCGCGCGACCATTACGACGCGCGCCATTAGCACGCTGCTGGCATTCCGGGCTGCACGCCGGCGGCACCGTCGACATCACGCCGCCTGACCGCGTGCGGCGCCGCCGGCGTCACCGGGCTCGGGTCAACACGATTAGTCACACGGCCGCGCAGCGCCGACGGCCGGCTCCGCGGGAGGTGTTGACCGACAGCTGGGGGGCGCAGAGCGCGGTCTGGGGTGCGCCGGCCACGCACCGGACGTGCCGGAAACTGAGTCACGTCGCGTGGGAGGCGTCCCGTCCGGACGTACCGGCGGCGGTGGCGAGTGTCGACTTACGTTGCCATGGGGCTGGTCGAATCTGACTCAGATGATAACGCTCCCTTTCCAGAGAGACAGTTTTATTTTACCCGGCGCACCGGAAGGCAGTTAGTCACGGATTCCACTCTGTGCACGTCGTCGACTCACGTGCACGCCCTCGCCACGTCTTCTGAGGCTGGTTACCGGCGCGTGCGAGGTCGGCATGCT